GGTCCTCCCGAAGGACCTCGGGTTCCTTCGGGAGGACCTCGGGTTCCTTCGGGGAAATGTACTCATAATGCACCGCGCGGTTACGCCGACGGCGACGCCGACGGCGACAGCGACGGCGACGGCGACGCCGACGCCGACGCCGCTCAGGCCGGAAACGGGATCCTAAGAGCTGTGCTCTAAAAGTTAGGACAAAATTTTACTTCATGATTCAAATGATTGTTACGATTAGCCCCCTAAACTATGTCCTCCAGGCCTTATTACTCACCTGCACAAACCGCATAAGTGTAGTTTTCACGGCTTCTTTCTAAAAATTTAATGAGCATTAAAAAATGAAACACGTTTTCGACACCCTGTAAAGCGCGAGACACGTGCGCGATAAAAATCCATCCGATCCGACGTCCAATCCAGCAATACGACTGCCTGCTCCGAAAAGTTTGGTCGCTTCAGACGTCGGATCGGCGATCCGGCGTGCGTCCAGCATGCCAGATAGTTTCGCACGGCGGACGGAGTGTCGGAAGCGTCCAGCCAATGGCAGCGCAGCTAGCGCGAACGTCATGATGACGTACTGGGTTTGGCGAGACGAACACGATAGCAGGACGGGCGAGGGGAAGCCGGACGCGTGAATCCCGCTGACCCATCCGAGAAAGATGACCGCAGCAAAGAATGCACGCGCTAGCGAGAACGAGCTTGTAATAATTTCGTTCGTGCGAGCTAACCGTCAATCTGGGACCAGATATTTCCTGGGCGGCGCCGAAAGGATCGTCGCGTCGCATTCAAGGTCGGAAGCATGTGTCTCAAACTGTTGCGTGCGACAATTCGGAGCGGCGTAGGGACTGTCGGGTCGGAAGATTGTGCCGTCCATGTGTCTCGCGCTTAACACCGAATTAGAGCGCAGCTCTTGAGGAGGAGGAGGAAAAAGTACTGAGGAAAGGGTATATACCTTTCCTCCTCATCCTCCCTGCTACTCCTCCTCCCCTCCTCTTGTTCGTCCTCCTCCCCTCATCCTTCAAGCTCCTCCCCTTCTCTCATCCTCCTCCCCCTCTCATCCCTCCTCGTCCCTCCTCCTCCCATCATCCCTTCTCTGCCCTCCTCCTCCGCCTCCACTCCCCCTCGTCATCCTCCTCCCTCTCCCCGCGCGTTGCACCACGGGAAATGTCCCATGATGCACCGCGCGGGACCCTCGTGACATTACTCATGACGTCCCGAGGGTCTCGCGCGGTGCATTATGGGACATTTCCCATGATGCAACGCGCGGTTACGCCGACGGTGACGCCGCTGAAGTTGGAAATGGGCGCCTAAGAGCTGCGCTTTGAAAAAAATCCCTATTCCTCGAAATAAATTTGTCTGGAAATTTTCCGGAACAAACGTAAATACGAAAAAACAAAAAAAAAAAAGAAAAAACCAAGGGTGCGTTACTAGGGCTACCTTTTCGGCGGAATCGGTGGGCGTTCGGCGATGCGCCGTTTATTTTTGCGCTGACGAGGAGGCCATGCCCTCACGAGAGCGCTTCCCGTTTCTGCCGCGGGAGGGTGAGCGTCGAGCTTGAGACGCGAACATGTATTTTACAGCGTCTCTACTTACCGCATATTTCGTCTCATCTTAGCTCACAGCAGAGTTCGAAAACTCGACCACATGCAACCATACATACTAAAAGCGCTAGTCATGGGACATCGGTGTTGTGTGTGTCCTTCCTCTTTCCGTGTCTCCTGTTTTATTATGCTGCTTACCACGCACTGCACTTTATTGGTATTGCCCATGAAACAATACGTACAGACGAATGCCACCATGTCGCGCTTTGATGTTGTTTGATTGTTCCTATTGGTTCGTAGCGTCGGCTTGCGTTTTAAGACGAAACGAAGTATAAAGGTTGCTCGTGAACTGTGCTGGCCAGTTGATGCGCTGGACGGTTGATCGCCGGTAGCGTCTAAATTTCCAGACGATGTCGGCAATGTCAAAAGCTAAAAGTCGCGAGAAAAAAAAAAGTGCGATGGCGGCTACTGCGATAAGCCAGAACCAGGTTCCTGCACCCCTGGCTAGACCACTTGAAGGGGCCGTGCAGGGACATTCGCTTAGAATAATTTTCACTTTACGCGAGCTTAATGGCTCTAGTGGGACACAATTGAATACTCACACGCAACGAATGACCAAGAAACTCCTTTGTTGCGGTGTATTTTCAAGGACAAATGCGAGCGTTTTCTCTCAATATCTCCTTCGGAAAACTTGATGACGCAGCTGACGTGTCGCAGTACCCTCCAGTGTTGGCATTTCAATGTGGCTCATAGATTGGACTCATGCATTGAGGGAGCACTCAATTTGGGCTCGTGATATTCAACAGCTGATTCGACAAGCATTCGGGTATTGCCCCGTGTCCAATCGCTGCAATGACGACGATAGACGAATTACAATAACGTCTGGAACTCAGTGCGTGTCCTGTGCTTCGCCAACCCCAGTGCGTGGCTCTGATCAACACTAGCGGCATATAATCGGTTCCAGATCACGTAGGCCGCTTGTTCTGGCTGCGAGTTGCATAGGCAAACGTGCTCGTTTTTCTTTTAATTATTTTTTTTTCTGCGACTTCAGTTGCACGGGGTGAGAATCGAATGCGTCTCATAGGTCATTAACGTGAGGTATACGTTCTAAGCGGTACATAGATCGTTGCGTCGCCCCTTTAGTTATCATGTGTGGCACATGGCTCTGTGCCGTGGTTCCAGTGCACCACGGCACCTTGGGCAGCTTCCGTCAACCTTCAGCGCCTCTCACCAGCGCCTGCGTCGGTCTTCGCCGGTTTGCACCGGAGTGCTAGGAGCAGCGGCTGACACGGGGGAGCGCCTGGTTTGTCGTGACAGGCTCTGAACTTATGTTCGCTAGTTTTACAGGTCTACCTTTTTTGGTCTTAAATCTCGGTAAACCCCTCATTATAAAAATATTTGCCGATAAAATTTAAGAAACACCAATGTATATCTCAATAGATACGGTAGTCAATGTAGTTCCGGTCTAACGAAAGAGCGGCAAACTTTGACTTGACACTGGCTCCAACGTCGCCAAAGAGCATTGTCAGTGTTAATGCACGAGTGTAGGTTTTCATAGTAGTTGTAGATGGTTGTTTCTTCAGTTTATGATATATTACACATCATTCCTGATAGCAGATAGGCTGGTATTTGCCAGAATTTTGCACAAATTATGTATATAGACATAGTAACTACCCGTAAAAGAGAAAGGAAGAGTCTTTATCCCGATAAAATGTTCCACTATGATTCATTTTTAAATCCTGTTTTTAATACTCATTGTAAATGAAACTTACTGTGACCTCGGCCTTATTCCTAAAAAAGGCCCTGCGAATTCCTTTTGTGCCCTACCTATTCTTATTAGAAAAAGGTAGGTAATATGCTTCAGCATCAAAGAGGAACCCTCAACCGTTATCAAAGATAAACACATTTAGCGATGGAGTCGCGTTTTCTTTTTTCAAGTGATGTGCTAACAGATGTTGGCATCTGCTCCAAAAGCGTCAGTGGCTGCTCCAAATCATGAATATTTTTCCTGCTACAAAAGGCCGACTGCCTAAAGCCACGCTGCCTGAAAGATGACGCAACCCCCACCCCTCTTCTTTTTTTTCAGCAAAAATTTTTTTTCGTCCAAATGTAGCGCTAGAGGTTCTAATCAGATACCCAAGTTTAAGAAGTAATCATTATCTCGTTCAAACGTCATAAGTAATTTTCTGATAATTTTGATTGGAAAATGGCACCCATTTTCGGTAACTGACGCCATTCAGCGCCATGTGTTCGAGAGCTCCACCGGCAGCCATTTTCCCGTTGTAAATTTCAGAAAATCGCTATTAACTTTTGAATAAGCCAACGGGGAGAGTTTTGAAACTTTGTCATCTGGTTCAGACCACTAGCGCTATATCTGGGTGGAGAACGAGCGCTCGTCGAGGCGTAGTTCATTTTTCTGTTAAGAAAAAACAAAACAAAATTTGTATAATAAATGTATATAATTTTGGGGGTCTATTGGAAAGAGGGGGGGGGGGGGGGGGGGGGGGCACTTTGTAGCGCCTGCAATATTTGGTTGTCGGGTGAAGAAACAATGCGGATCGCAAGTTCGTCTGCTCCTTTTGCAGGGGTTGTGGTGACGTCAGAAAAACGCCGAGCTCTGATTGGCTCCGATCGAAGGACAGTGGATATACCTCAAAGCAAGCTGCCTCTAGGTCTACCCACTATCCTTCCATCAGAGCCAATCAGAGCTAGGCGTCATTCTGAGGTCGCCGCAACTGCTGCCGAAGAAGCGACTTGCTCTTCGCATAAGCACAGACTTAACCTCACGAGGGTTTGCCGTTAGGGTTTGCCGTTGTCACTGCCGAGTATCTGCATTTAACAGCGGACCTCGGTGCTGAGGCTACAATATACCGGGGACCCGGTGGTCAGGCCTGGTATCCTAATGTAAAGTATCGATTACTAATAAATACTTTTATGTCACAAATTATTCTTCGCAGCCATCCCTTTCCCCGAATTCGCAGACGCGCTTTTTTCAGAGGCTCAGCTGCCAACGCTCACCCATTCCTAGGAGAAGATCGTAGTTTTCCTTGAGATTGGTCATCCTGGACTTCACGTAGAATGACATGGTACTCCATTCCTCATCCGAGAAGTATTCTCGGATGAGGCTGAAGCGAGGCAGGTCTTCGGAAGACATTTTCGTGGGGACGCAGTCGAGTGGCGGTCGCAGAGCGGGATTCCCAAGTGACGCTCAACTGTCGTCTGCTACACTTCCCGCGCTTGCCGCCACTTTTTTTGATCAACCAACAGAGCGTGATACTGCGCCGCGGAAAACTTAATAAGGATAACTTTTTATTAACGGTTTTCGCATTTCGTTGCATGTAAATTCTTGGTTAAACATTTATCGTTACAAATCTCAAACCTTTCCTCGCTCTCATCAGATGGCAGGGCAAGCGGAACCGGAAATCGTACCGGAAATCAATTTGAAATCCCTCCCAGGCGGCAATGGCGGCAACGTTTGTTTGGCGTGCAAATGGCGTGCAAGGAGGTTGGCGTGTCTCAAAAACTTGTGTCCGTTGGTTCATCGTTTCGAACGTGAGCTCTGAAATCAATCCCATTTCTTTTACAACGTGCTGCTGCTCTCTTCCTGCATTATTCGCCGGATCAAGGAGCATCATTCGGAAAGCAGCTCGGTTAGTCTGATCCGAGAAAACCATCGTAAAACAACTTTTAGATTGTGTTTATATTAACGCTGATCTGTCGAGGTCCGCTGGAAACGTTTCGGATCCCGCATTTGTCGTTTCCCAGCGTTCATTTCTGACAGAACTGAAATCGACCAGTTTGCAAACGCTCGTCGGCGTTGCACCTTAGAGTATCCTTTAAGAAGTAGTGTTCTTTTTTCTTTTACCTTTATTATTATTGTTTTTTTTTTACTTGTTCACTCTGTACTAGAAAAAAAGAAAACCTTTGACGGGATGTGAAAATGTGAGACATGCTGTTCGATTGCGAGTGTAGTTTTACGCACTGACATTCGTGAAGTTGTAGGGAATCGTAGGAGGAAGAGCAAACAAGGCAAGAGGTAAGTATCTTAGCATGTTAGTCTCGCCCCAGCGTTTGACCGTGCTGTTTCACCGACATCGACGCCTGCGACCTTCTATATTGTTTTGAACGCAAGTTCGCCGGATTAAACGTTTAGTTCCTCAATTATTTGCCGCCTCATCATTTGTCATTCGTGACAGTATCGGAGCTTGTTCGAAAATGAAGGCCCGCCCATAATGCATTGGATATTCTTGGACAGTGTCCACCGCATGACTGCAACTGGTTAAGAAAGTGCAGTTTTTTCATGTCACTCAGAATCTACAATCCTGTATCCAGAAAATAATCACTAGGCTAATAGCGAGACTATCTTTAATTTTGGCAAGCCTCCATGGTATGCATAGTTTAAAGTAAGATTTCTGGTTTGATAATCCAGTTTGAATGTTACCGTGATAAAATTCTTACATTTTTTTTTGCTGGGGACTCATTAAAATTTTTATCACCCATCTATGATGGTCCAACTGCCCCAAAAAGATATTTGTAGCATTACATCTCCTTTATTTTAATGTAGCTCAAGATTCAATATTCTGCGATGGGGCGACGAAGCGGTTTTCGGTGCTGTAAACCTGGAGCGCCGAAGCGTGGTGGGGCAGCCCTGCAGGTGGCTGAAGCGAGCAGCTCAGCAGAGGGCACTGACTCTTGACAGGCTGGCAGCCGTGGGCAGTAAGTTGTTTCTCCTTGCTCCCAACACACTACTCTACCATTTATTTGCTGTCATTAATATGACTTCATGTTGACCACTTTGAGTGCTCTTTATTCAGTAAATACTAAATGAAGTATATGCATAAAGGTTGCTTGCATGTGAAGAATGGCACCATTTCTTATGATAATGACAGACCTGACGGAAGAGTGTTCCAATCACGGACATCTGCACAGAGTATTACAATACTTAACACCTACAAGGAATCGCTCTAATTATTAAAGGGTAAGGTGATGTTTGTACATAATCAACAATCTTTAGTAACTCAGTTAAATAATTTTCAATTGTTTCCAACATCGTTATGCTTGTTGCAGAAATTGAGTTGGTCTTTTTTGACCTCCGTTTACTGAAGATCGCTTTGGCTGTCGTCACAGACGTAGCTTTGTTTACCGCTGCACTTATCAATTTTCTCCACCGAGCCACAATGGGCAGTGGTTGCAGAGGAATATTGTGTACTATTACAGCGAATATGAGCTGAAACGTCATGACACCTTCCGCTCGGGACTATTAGTGCTGGTTGTCGTATCACTGGGCAAACGCACGCTGGGCCGAGACACATTTACTCCTGTGTTCGTTACGCCATTCCAATCTTCGTCACGATGGGTGCACCATGCAACCCATTGTCTATGGACACTTGTGAAGGCCTTATTCTTAGATAATTTCCCTCTGCATCTTTGCCAGTGAAGGCACAAATTAAATTGTTATTTACCCACTTGCTTTTTACTTGAGTGAATTTAACTTTCTTCTGCAAACAGATTAGGCCTTTCTGGAGCATTCATTAACACCCCTCAGAACCGACATTTCTGCCGCTGCATTGGAAATGAGAAGTTTAGCTGGGGAATGCTTTAACAGGCATTACACAGCAGTGACTCACGGCCTGCCGGTATAGTGCTCACCCCATATGACAACAGGCAGGTGTGGGGATCGAGAGAAACCTGTAGTTCTGGGTTTTACAGCGCAGTCCTTGGTTCTCTTGAATGGCGAGAGTTATACATGAAACCGTTTGCAAAACTTAATCAAACCAATCTCTGCGGTACTTTTGTGCAGAGTCTCGATTTGTGCAACCATCAGTTTGCGATGAGTGGCTCACGCTGAGATCTTGGTTCATATTTCTGGAGAATGACAGGTGTGACCTTGTCACCTGCGCACTCAATACCGCACCCGCCGTCTCGCTACCAGACAGCCGGAAGTGCGCTGTGGCACGAGCACACGAGGAGATTTGTCTCTGTGTCAGTTGGTGCCAGTGTCTACGAAGCACTATGCCAGGTGGCGCTGATAGCGCCACACGTGCCGTTTCAGCTCATACCGGCCGCGATAGTACCTGATGTCAAGCAGCAGCAGTTCTTAAAGAAGCAATTCCCGGGAAAACCGGGAATTGTCTGGTAAATTTTAATTACCGGGAAAAATCAGAGAATTGTCAGGGATATTGTTAAAAAGCGAGCCCAGTCAGGGGGGCAATGAGCCGGAGACGCCGTCGAGTTCCCTGAGCAAAGGATTGGGTACTTAAAGGCAGAAAAATAGGCAATAGATTCTGCTTTTCCTCCTCATTTCTTTTTACAGCGCCTACCCAGACACACACGCACACACGTGAAATGACCAAGGAGGATGGAAATGTTCCACCGAAGCGCGCCGAAATTACTCGAGGGCGCGCCTTGGAGCCAATAGTAGTAGTTTTGGACCATGTGTAGGCAAAAAGGAGAAAAATCAGTAGATTTTGTGGTATTATCACTGAATCAGCAGAATTTTGAAACAATCAGTAGGAGTAGCAACACTGGCGTAGACTATGCAAAGATGGCGACTCCAAAAAAGAAGATAAACAAGGAGGCGGGAGGAAGTACCTAGGAAGCAATGGCTAAGAGGGATTCTGGGAAATCTACGTCCCTTCCGACCAAGCGGCTCGCCGTGTACTGCCGTGAAGCCACACTCGCGTCCAAATTCGTGTATTACCCGCACCCCTACTTTCTTTTGCCCAGATATTTTTTAAAGTTTTGATGCGGGTAATACGCGAGAAAATATGGTATACACAAACTCATCTCTGTCATGGCGCGGTGGTGGCGCGTCGAACGCACTTCCGGTCCGGGGCTGTGGGTGGAAGTGTCAATCTGAGACGTGTTTTCCTGCGTTGTTTTGAAAGGAACCAGACAGAAACCTGCCTTCTTGTCAAAATGCTGCGACTGTGGCTGTACCAAAAGGGTCGAGAAAGGTTTGATGGTCAGTTTTCATGCGCTCGGTTCGTCCGAAAATCTGGATATGTGCCGTGAAAAGGGAAAACCAGACGCCGTCGGACAACGATTGCTTGGGCGGGAAGCATTTTGGGTTGAATTCACGGATACTTCTGGCCATCAGATTTATTTGTTTTGTTCAAAAATGAACGTCGGAAAACCGTCAAGTTGTACGGACCACATGCGGACTACGTTCAGTGCGTGTTCAAGTTCAAACGGTCGCCTGATTGTTCGAACTGTCGTCTGCTCTTTCAAACGTTTCTGCTTGTCGTCTGCTCTTTTAGAGGACACCGGCCCGTAGACCAAACGTGGGCCCGGTACTTGCGACAAGAATTGCAGGCCTCAAAAGACTTAAGTTTGAAGGTTGGTAAGCAGGCTCAACGTAAACAGTAGATACAAGGAGATGTTGATCATTGTTACCAGTGGCCATCACCGACTTGTTATGCCTGATTCACTTGGTTAGATTCTGCTTGCTATTTTCAGTGTCGACGTCGACCATCTCAGCTACGGTTCACGCTTTTGCAAATCTGAGCGACGTCGCTACTGAAAATTGCGAGCGAAATCTCATCATGTGAATCAGGCTTTAGCGTACGTTCTGCGGCGTCCACGCGGAATGAATCGCCGCATGTCAGATTATTCACGCGAAGTTTTGAGGTGTAACGAGCCTCGTTAATTTCGCTGACGCCGCTCAAGTAGTCAGACATCGCTAGGAGGACGTAGAATCAACAATTCCAACGCAAAAAAGAGCGCGGGGACTCACACCAACGCCGACAATATCGCATTTCAATGGTTTGCTTATGGGCAACGCCGAGCTTCTTGCCCACACCCCCATCGCGCATGCGCGGCGCCGGTGGCGTCCGCTAGGGGCGCTCCGGTTTGTTTGTAGACATGAGTTAGTGTATACTGGTTTGCATGTGTTGACATAGCTTTTCAGTAGGGGTGTGCGAATAGTCGAATGTATGAATTCGAATCGAATAAAAAGTTCCCTAGTAATTCGATTCGTGAATCGAATTCCTAGTATTCGGTCACTCGACCGTATTCAATATATTTGGCCAAAGACGCACGGTCGGCGCGGAGCTGACACGAGCAGTTTTTTCTCCTGATGTTAGCTCCACAATGTTCGACAGACCATGCGAGAAACACCTCTTGGTCCTACCATTCCACAAAAATCTAACGCACATGTCAGAAAAAAGAAAAGTAACAAACGCCACAAACTTTATCGCACACACATTTACTCATGATCGTGAAGCAATCTAACCTTGATTCACAACCAAAACTTCCCCTTTGCACCGCTTCCAGAGAGGAATGGTTTGGAATTCCGCGCCATGCCTAATTCATTTCACGAGCAAAACCCCTCGTTTCAAATTGAAGCGCCGATGTAACACACTTGCCACGCTCACAGAAATTGGCGACTGCATGGTCACAAAAAGAAAACCACATTAACCACGCCGATGAAACTGGCCCGGCCGAGTTGTCGTCGTCATTCTTTCGGAATCGCAAGCCGCAAATTCTGATTCGGAACGAAACAATAGTGTGCCTAGGTTTGAGAGAGTTTCCAACAGCTTGACATCTGCGTTTGAATTACGAACTGCGAGAAGGTGACCAAAAGACAAAAGCGCCGATCGGGCAGGGCAGGCGTTGTCACTCATTTGTTTGCTTGCCTTCTTGCCACGCGACTACAGAACACATGTGCCCTTAAGACCAATTTACGCAGGAGCCGTCTCCGTGGTTTCAGTTTCGCTTGCTCAGTCTTTTAAATCTAGGCTCTCTAGAACAGGATAGATGGACGAAGGAATGGATGCATAGCGGCAGTTGGACGGTGACTTCCGCCACCTAACCACGTCTTTTTTTTTCTTCTCACTTTAGATTATAAAGTTTAAGCCTGTTTACTCAGATTTAACAGCTATTTGTTCCTTATATAAAATAAAATCCCGGGTGCCCTTTTTCTTTCTTAAAATTGAGACCAAATGTCGCAATACGCCTCTTTTCTGAAATATATAAATATAAAAGAAAGGGACATGTCGTGGTGTTAGGTTGTGCTTTTATTGAGAAAAGAAGGCATGTGTGGCTGTAACTTTGGGTTTTTGTGACGCTTAGGGGAGATAGATTATGTTTGCGCCATAAAATTGGATCTTTAGTGCCCAACATTCATCAACAACTGTAATTATAATGCAATGTACATTTGAGTTTTTGTTCCTTACGAGATGCATATTCTGCACCAGGTGCATACTCTGCACATACAATAATCTCATTCGCAGCACAGTTTGAAAAATACCTACAAATGAAATCACTATTCGATTTGATATTCGGCATTTTTTTTCTTAATTCAATTCGTTATTCGATTAGATAACTACCATACGGTATTCGCACATCCCTACTTTTCAGAGGTCAGTTCCCAGAAAATGGCCTCGCTGCTCCGTGGTGGGCTGCAAGCCTGGTCATCGGAGCCACGGTTCCATTACCCACAAGGTACCGACAGACAGCAGCTTGCGTGCTGTCTGGCTGGAGACAATTGGTGTCAAGGTATGTTCTCGACACTTCACCCGGGACGCCTTCCGGTGTCCTGTTGACTCGGACAAGTGTGTGCGGCTGAAGCTTGGAGCTCTCCCTATGCTGTTGCTGCCAGAGGCAACAAGAGCACTGCCACCACAACTGGTAAGTGAAGCAAAGTTGACTTTCTGTTTGTTCATGGCTGCAAGATGTCAAACCAGGTTTACTCAATGCGCTTCGAGGGGGGATCACAAGGCCGGGTGAACTAGCGTGACGTTGTCCCCTGTAAAAATGCACAGAATCTGCAGCTGCACAGGTGAACCAAGGGTGCAGTGCTAGAATGCCACCTTTGCAGCCTGCCCCAGCACTCCAGGTTCAATTGTTGTCTCCAGTCCGAAGGACAACCCCCCAACTGCAGGCCCAGGACAGCCGTCCTCGCAGTTCGACTCCCATACCACCTGATAGTGAGGTAAGTGTCAGCAATGTGCTGGATAGGCCTTCTTATGCAGGGGACAGTAATGATCCAGAGGACAGACCAGATGACCCATGGGACTCTGACAGCAGGACAAAGTCAGATGACTCAGGTAGCTGTGACAGCGACACCAGCACCAATGTGGACGATGAGTCAGCTGAGGACAGCAGTGACTCGGGTGAGCGTTGCCCACAACTCCCCACCATTCTAACGGTCATGCTAACTGCACCAGTGCCTGACCTTCTAAAACATCCTTACAATGGCCTTACAATGCAGACGAGGAGGAGGACTACATGGAGGAGAGGGTTGCTCCTGGTGACATTAGCTATGCGCCCTCCACAAATGTGAGCTTCCAAAGGTAGTACTTTCAAATAACCTCCGGTATATGTTACAATTTTATTTATATTTTCAGTGATGACAGTGACTGCGTAAAGGTGCCACTCCACAAAGAGCGGAAGTTCATTGTTTTTGAAGGGTGCCTCTTGGAGCGTTTCAAGGTGTGCCGCAAGTGCCATGCCCCTTGCTGCAACACCACAGATGTTGTCGGCACACTACTGATTGTCAACAGGAGACATGGTGGAGCCAGCCAAAGGTAAGTGGCAAAGCAACAGGCAATGTTTGCATTTGTGCAGCCATTCTTTTTGGAAGTACTTCTCCTGCGACCATCTTGAGGAGCAACAGGTCCGTCAACATTCAAGCCATCTCAGAGCGCACCTACAACAAGTATCAGACTGGTTATCCGATGCCTGCTGTGAATTAGATATTTGCCGACTCCCGAATTTTCCAGGAGCCTCCCGAATTTTGATCACATCTCCCGATTGTATGGACGCGACCTCAGATCTCCTAAAAAATGTCCGCCGTGATTTTTTTTTAATGACGCCTTATTGCTATAATTATCACGCGTGTGTCATTCCGAGTTACTCGAGAGTAGGTTTAGGTTACTCCGGCGGGTTACCACGTGACAACTCGGAGCATTACCGTAAAGAGAGGGTAGATTTTCAAACGCCAAGGTACGAAACCTCTATTCCTGAAGTTAGAGCGCATTTTGGAACACGGCTTATATGACCATGGGTGCGCTAGGCTTCAATCAGCTTCTTTGTCAGGTCGTCGAGTGAGGTGCGGAACGCCGAACTACTCTTTGTGTTTCCCCGAGTTTAGTTGGAACCACTGATCTGTTGGTATGATCGATGGCACTTTCAAAAGCCACGAAGAACTTGCAAGTATTTCTAAGATCATACGCGACTGGGTTTCCATGCTTTGTCGCTTCATGGAAAGCTGAAAAGTTTGAATTCTGCACAGTGTGCGTCCGTGATGTGTGAGCGTTTCGCACGGCGGCAAGCTTGACACATCAAGACACACATCGCTTCATGAAAGCATCAGAACCATGCTCGTGCCGTAGAAGGGCAGGGCACCACCGACAGTTTACTCCAAAACAACTGCGAAGACAGTGATTCGCGCAGAGTGCCTCTTCACGGGGTTTCTTGTCAATCTAAAAAAAGATAATGTTTCAACCCCCCTTCCCCCCGCGCGGCAGTCTCCTGAATTTTGATGTTGCTAAGTTGGCAGGTATGGAATTGGGTAAGTCAGAGTAAGAATAACTGTAGAGAATAAAACATTGCATTGCCTATTGATTTATAACGCATAATTGCCTGCCAGGTGTATGAGCAGCAGAACACTGAGCTTCTGCAAGGTCTCCGAGGCAAGAGCATTGCCCTTGCTGGGATGGACGCTGCGATTCGCCAGGATTCAGTGCAGAGTACTGCACCTACAAGTTCCACAAGGCAGTCACCTGGAAGGTCATCCATGTTGAGCAAGTGCAAGTTGGCGAGGTAGCATTTACTGACTGAGGCAAACAAAATTATTGTAAAACTGATTTTCCTCTTGTTTACAATCACTGTTGCTTTCTGCTTTAAATCTGATTGCATTTATGGAGGCCTTGCATTGAGGCTGCAGTACATTGTCTGTTGGAAGAAATTAATGCATACACGTGACCAGTCGGATGAAGTGATGTCAAGCAACGCCATGGAGAAGGTGGCATTTGTTCGTGGCTTCACCAAGCTGAAACAGAAGGGCATACAGGCTACCATTCTGATGCTTTCCTGAAGCCATTTGATTTCATACAAAATATTTGGAGAATACTTGGAGAATAAAAATTACTTGACACATCAACTTGCAATTTTTTTTATTCAGCATGTTAGAACACACAATGCTTTAAAAGAATAGCACATATTGGCGTAAGGTGTCCCTCACTATTTGATATTGCAGTCAGTCCCACGCAAAAATCAATGCACTGGTTTAGAGAACTACTCCACGCTGGGACATGTTGGATCCAGCTTAGAATAGTTCCATAAGCCAGTACTTTTTGCCCGGACAGCTGCTACCCCACTCAACAGAGCGAAATCTCTGGGGAACCCTAAACCCCATCGTCTTCCAAAGTGCATATTGTCACGGAGTAAGGCAAGGAGACGGTAAATTATGAACTGAAAAAAAGTGTTTAATCAGCAAACTTGTGCCAAACAAAATAAAGAATGAGCGTCGAGACAGCAGAAAAGCAGGCGGCGATTTGGCGGCGTAACAGGAAGGGAGAGCAAGACTGACTTGACGAGGTCACGGGCAGCTCCTTTTCTAATCTCCGTCGGCATCGCAAAAATCTGGCCCAGAAGGTTCGAGCATCGGGTGTTCAGGGTGAGAATGAACAAGCACTTTCGAGAACAAGAAACTAGGACGAAATGATAAAAGTTACGCCCGAGTAAGAATAAACGCCAATCTTCTGGAGTTCCGTGACCGAGCGCTGCTTGTTCGGCCCTGCGCACAGCAATATTGCACTGGGGTGACTGAGAACATGTGAGGCCTACAGGGCAGGATATCTAAAGCCACAGTATTCTTCTGATGGATAGGCATTCCTAATGGCCTTTACTACACAGGCAGGCAGAACCTTCCTTTTGTGCCTCCCAAGGCGGCGCCAAATCCACCTTGCAAACTGGTGGTATGCAATGTACCTGTACCAGGAATGGAGAATCCAGATTGAACTCGGGTTTACGAAGATCATATCTGCCCGTGGTAGAATAAACTGTACCATCTCTTACAGTAATGAATTTAATGAATTGAACACAATGTAGACTCCTCACTGCACCTACCAATTCCAACCTCGGATGACTTCCTTAGAACTAGAGGCCAGTTTCTGCACCGAAGTCTGATGCCCGCTTGCCTCATTCCAAACTTAAACAGAGCCCTGTATGTAGGTATTCGGTTATGCAAAATGAATTAGATGGAAACTGACCAGTGTGTTAGTGTTTCAAATACCCGACACCACCTGGTGTTTAAGGCCTTACCTGTGGGTTTCCCTGTTCCCGACGAGCTCCCTGTCCAAGAGCTCGATCGCCCTCATGCGAAACGCGATTTGGAGGCCGACGGGATTGCGGATTGCCCCGAAGAAGTCGCTGTGCTGTGTGATGCAGACACTGCCGGCGTTGGCGGCGACTTCCCCACCTCCATGCAACAGATACATTTGGCGGCCGTCGACATCACGTGGCAGTGGCTGCAACTGCACCTAAAATCAAAAAAGAAATTGGTGTGTGTATGTTTATACGACCTAGTTAGTCTGTCTCAACGGGCGACTGTAGATTCTAAGCTGTAGATGAGAAATTTAGACAGTGCAGTACAACCGCTAGCCTGGGGTCTTTAACGTGCATCACGCAGTAGTGATACACAACCGCATGTCGGTACGATACAGATCCAGATCGAATTGGGCAGGGGTGGGGTGCAAAAAGTTGAGCGGAATTTCGCACGAGTCAATAGCAGCACTACACGCAAACTTTTCCGTTTTTTCCTCCTGACAAGGTTGCGGAGAAGGCGCCGTATAACCGAGCTTTCGGTTGCACGTCAAAAGATCCCCAGGTGGTCGAAATTAATCCTCAGTCCTCCGCTGGGGCGTGCCAGATGCCCGTCGTAGGTTTGGCACGTAAAACCCCCAAATTTGATTTGACCTCCTGACGAGGTGGCTCAACAACAGAAGCAGTTAGTGACCACTTCTAATCAACGAGGTAGCAGCTACGCTGTTTTTATAAATCGCATGTTCCAATAACATGCGATTCCAATAAAGGAATCGCATGTTCATTACCAGTCCGTGTCGTCGAGGCGCGGCGAACTGTTGGGCGGCAGGGGCGGTGCGTCGACTTCGGCATTACCAGCCGTCCTCTGAGGCGTGTCCGTGTAGAGTCGAAGCCCGAGCTCTTCGCAGCGATCTAAAAGTTCATGCTTGAGCTCCGGATTCTTCGGTCTCGCTGCCTTCGTGGTGACGGCAGGAGTGTGCACGTGTGTTCAACGCGACAACACGCTAGTCACACTGCAAAATTGCGATATTCGGCCAATTTAGCCAAGCGAATCCAGTAGAAAAGGCCAGCGAATTCAGATTCGAAAGGCGTTTTTATTGCCACAAAAACAAGGTCAAGGTGAGGGGAATATGGCGAGTGACATCTTCGTCTGGGCATGTGGCACTAAAAAAAGGATGAGGGAGGTGAAAATCTGCACATATACTACGTCCAGCTTCGCTGTTAGCATGAAGTTTAGGAGACTAAGCTGGCCATTGTCTTTGTCTGATGACTTCTTTGGGTGAACCCAGTCAACCAGGTTGTGGGCATATATGGGTTTGAACTTGGTCCGAATTTGTTGATAGTAGGGGCATTCCCATAAGAGATGAGTCATGCCTCATTTTATGTTGTTCGTGCATTTGTTGCACGTGCTGGAGCGACTTTGCTCCGGGCGTGCTGGGGAGCGGGTGGCGCCTGCCATGATGCGGGTGAGGAGGACCTTGTCCCTTCTTCCGATTCCTCTCGGTAGAAGGTAGGGCGTCTGGGGCAGGCTTCCTCACAATCTTTTTCCGCACCTCTCCTTGATTAGGATCCTCTCCTCGTCAGGATCATATTCTTCGTCATCACATAACGTCTTCCCATTACCGGGTGCAGCGTATCCGTGGTCGTGTGGTTGTGAGGATGTGGGCGCTCCCCCTAACCCGCAGAAAGAAACTAGCGCCGCGCGAGCGAGTTGATGCACCTTTTCATTGCCGAGGATCCCTGCATGGCCCGGGATCCAGCCTATCTTGATGGTGGTGCCAAGATGACGTAGTTCGGCTGCCATTTTCTTTATTTCCTTGACCTTCCTGCTTGCGCTGGAGCCTTTCTTACACTCTCGTACTGGCTCCTAGGAGTCTGTTAAGAGGCTGAGCTCCCTCGGACGTAGGTCTTGCCAGTGATGCGTGAAGAGGTTGAAAGCCAGGAGGATGACTTCGAGCTCTCCTCCCTTGATCGTGGTTCTTGTGGGTAGTTGGCAGCATTCCGTGACCCCCACAGCGGGGTCGAGAAACACCGCTGCCCCAGCAGGTGTCGATGTGTCATCTCATGCGTGGTCTGTGTTTACTGCCAGGATCTCGCTCGGGTCGGTCCAGTGCTCCACCATCTTCCGGCGTGCGTTGGTGATCCGCTCGTTCCTTTTTTCGTCCCCTTTCTTGACTCTAAGAGGCCTCCTTTCGGTGATGTCTGCCATGTCTTCCCACGGCGGAAGCCATTCTGGCAGGTTTGGTAGGTCTTCTAGGTTGTTGCCTAGCAGCCCCAGGATCTGTCTTCCTTGCTTTGTGTGTTGAAGTCTTTCTTCATGCACCACGACCCTGGCTTGGACGGTGTCCTGTAAGGTGTTGAGCTGCGCCCATTTATCTAATTATATCTTTTTAGTAAAAAAGGGTAGGCCCGTAAACACTCTCATCGCAAGCCTATTGAGTGTCTCAAGCCTTCCCCACTTAACTTTGGTTAGATTGTAGTGTCGGCAATCCTAAAACATGTTTCTTAACGCAATTGCGAACGCACTACGGCCCTTCTTTTTGAAATACCAAAAATCGAGAGTTCGTTGTGATGCCGTCTCCTGGATTTGTATCCTCCAACGGAAAACAGGCGACACCGCTCAAAACCGGTCCGCCGCAACGCCGGCGCTCGCTCCTTTCCTCCTCGCTTTGGGTCGCCATGGCAACAGCAGGGAGTCGTAAAGGAAAGTGGACTCTCAGGACTCCGCAATATTTGACGTCAAGGCACCGGCGCCGATCGCGCGGGAACTTAGAATTCGGCATTTGGAAATTGTTTTTTTACTTCACAAATACTGAATTCCCAAATTTCAAATTTTGAGAGCAATGTCCCGGCATCGTTTTCAATCGTTTCGGATAATAAAAAAAAATATGATTTTGATGTGTCAGTGCCCCTTGAAGCAATTGCCCCACGATGGGAAAGTGTGGCGATTGGTTGTGGCATCTCGGTCACTGGGAAACGCCCGTCTCATGACCCGTCGGGGAATCGCCGGTCCACCAAAAGGGGGCGGGCCAACCAGTGATATTTAAGGGGAACGTAGCCAGCGACGGCGCCAGGCTTTTCATAGTGAGGGGGCAGTGGGGGGGCGCGCGGCATTTTTCGGGAGGCATGGGCTTTCGATCCGACTAAAAGGACAAATATCCATGGACGATGACTTGGCGCTTCAGGAGTTTTTAATTGAAATCAGCTCAGTTTATTTCATTATTTTACAACCTACCTACAACTCTGGTTAATGTAGCATTTCACGTGTAAAATATTCAGGCATGTTTACGTTCCGCAATACTAAATAAGCACGCTCACGCTCGTCGTGACTCATCATCTGCTCTTTAGGCAGTCCCCTGCACCGCGGAAAACCGGAGCACGTCATCGATCATGTAGATGTAGTGACAATTTCTCTCTTCTTTGCTGAATACGCCTGGCAGAGGTACACGGCGACTGATTTAGCCACGCCACTTTTCCTCATCTGCTAGAAGGAAGCCGATGATGTTTGGGACATCTTGCGTGCTGCACTGTTGGAGTGGCGTCGTAGTTCGCCTTCCTTTTGAAGAGCTTTCTTCCAGTTTCGATAGTCCTCTATCAAAATACAGCACTTCGATTGTCCCCCCCCCCCCCCCCCCCCCCCCCCCCAAATTCACAAACACTTTCAGCTGTCCTCCAACCTCCTGAAATAGTCCCTCGAAGGGACTCCGTGCCCCAGGGTCACTAATGAGGGGAGCATGGCAGTTCTTGAACCCCAAGGCTCCTTTCTTGAGCACACACAGTCGCCGTCACCAAAGTTGCTTCAAGGACCCCATAGAGGCTTGAAATAAGCAGGATGACCTAGACACATCAAAGCCGCCCCTTGGGAACTCGCCAGTCGGCCCGAGCGTCTCAGGACTTTGGGAGATTTCCTCGGTCAGAACATGAACAGTGCCCCTGAGTTCCTTTGTCTGGCAGGTACGAAGCGACGGCGCAGTGCAGATGGGATCCCAAGTCTCTTCGAGTAATCACTTGGGTGAAGCTACTTTCAGGAAGTCTTTTATGGTTGGCGACAGAGGAAGTGAGTGGTAGACGACGCTCCTTAGCTTCGGCAAGCCATACCGATATTCATGCATCGTTCTTCACGGGGTACGTAAAGAAATTAAAGTGGACGGCACGAAAAAGTTCAAAACATCCGGTATAAGGCCTCTTTAGGCTGGCTATCCTTCAAGCCAATGCCTTTTCCATGGAACGAGTAAATTAGGAAAATGACGAGCTATGTAGCGTATGCGGGTCTGCGCGCGAAAATTAGGGTGAGGGGGGGGGGGGGGGGGGGGTGTGAAGGCTGGCATATTTTTGGGGTGGCAA